TTAAACCAAATATAAATTACTTCGTTATTGTACATAAATTAAATTATAAAAAAATTGAATTAAAAAATTACACAAAAAATAAGGAATTTCAAATAGCTAATTTAATATTAATATCGATATATTTTTGTCAAATTTTTATGATATCTTCAAACATATATTTTATTCAAAAATAAAAATATCAATGTTTTCTCAAAATCACATAAAGTCATATTATAACATTGACTGAGATAAATAATAAAATGAAATATTAAAATCACGATGTATCTCACTGTATTATGCGAATACGCTTCTAGTATATATATATATATATATATATATATATATATATATATATATATATATATTCATTATTCAACCTTGTATCATTAAGAATGGTCCTCTGTTTTAACAGCAATAGAAAAGTCTCATTTCACGTGAGACTTTAAATTCTAGTAGTCGATCATTACTTCACATATTTATCACAAAAAAATTACTATCATGAGAAATACGATACTTGATAATATAATAATAAATTTATAATTATATTAATTAAAAAATACAACATTTATATATTTTTTTGAAAGGAAAATCATCAAAATAGCCAATTTATACGTACTGTATTAACAAAATAACTATTTTTCACTCTATTTACAGAAAATGACCACAAGGATCGACCCCTAGGGGACATGTTGATCATATGGGGACGATTTGACCAAAAAAGTACCAAAGGGAGACCTATATGTATCTAATTTGGAGAACAAAAAATCTGATTTTTATAAAACAATGGGATCGCCCCCACCTAACTCCCGGATCGGGTGACCTTACCTTATCCTTTGACTGTTATATTGTCTTTTACTGAGGATATCGATTTGAAAATTAAGGGGTGTTTTTCAATAAACGGGGGACGATTTTGATCGGTATTTTATCTGTTTTAGGACCAAATATTGTGGTTATCTCTATAAAATCAAACATTTCTACTCTCACAACCCGTAACCCTTAAACATAATTTACCATCACAACCTTAACACAATATGAAATCATGTCAAGTTTTATAACTTTTACTACTTTTTAAAAAAAATGTGAAAAGTGGTCTATTTTCAAAAAACCCATTTTTGAAATTTTACTTTTATTTTGTACAAGCCAATGAGATCAACCAAAATAGAAAAAGGAGACAACTACAAACTTTCATAAAACAAAAACTACATATATCTTATGCATGTGAACTTTTTAATGTATGTTGTATATACAAATACTTGTAAACAAATTCAATTTATATATATTTTAAAATATAATTTAATTCTGAAAATGTATTTTAATTGTTGTGACTTGTAACGATGATAATTGGTACAATGTGGTTGGATTTTAGGTTTTGAAAATCCCAAGATCCTCGTATATCGTTTTATTATTAAAATGTTGTATTCTTATATATTATTAAATGTATTTTTATCTAAAATATTAATGTTATGATTTAGTTTTTATATTGATTTTAATATCAAAAAAATTCAAAGAAATGACAGATTTATTCACTGTATCAATGACTGATGTACAACAAACAGCATTGGCCATATATTAAATGCATATAATTCTAGTATTGGATTTTACCACAAACCCAATATTCTGTGTAAACAAAATTATCGTGAAAATCACTTTACAAAAATCATTTATCATCCCATTATTTAAAATAAAATAAAAAGAAGAGAAAAATCAATGAAAAATATGAGAACAAGAACCAGATCGGAAGATATGTTCTTAGAGAGATGATGTTCTTCTTGCTAAATCGACCAATAAAACCTTCAAAAAAAAAGTGCCGTGGGTTCACAAAAACTTTGATGATGAAAACTACACCATCAAAATATGATAAGAAGGTTTTGATCGATTGGTTCTTCGTGGGTATTGAATCTTTTTGGTTGGAAATGGCTTTTTGTACTTGTTTCTGAGATGGGTTTTCCAGACTTGAAATCTTGATTTTCCGATCAGTTTAGCCGGAGTTTGTTCTCGGCGATCTGAGCTAACGACTGGAGGTTGCATTTCACGATTGTATCAACGAAAACGCAAGTTTCTTCCTTTGTATTCCCCGGCGGTGTATCGACCACGTAGGACTCCACGACCACCGTACCGTTTCCGGCGGGTGTACAGTGGAGGGTGGTAACGGAACGGTAGTTGGCAAGCCGGTGATCACCGCCGACGACGCTGAAGCTGATGACATGTCGCTCATCGTCGAGGATCTCGAGGCGCTCGGTGGAGGAGGCGGCAGGAAGGCCGGAGATGACATGGATTTCCCTGAGGGTTCCGACGTCGCCGTTTCCGACGACCACGTGGCAGCTCTTGACGAAATGTTTATAGGCTTGTGGGTTGTCGAAGCGGCGGACGACCGCCCAGACGGTGGAGATCGGCGCGTTGATCTGTTGGACGACGGCGCAGCAGCACTGGTTTGGACCAACTGGGTGGGTGTGGTACCGGGCGATGGAGTCAGGAACCGGAGTAGTGGTGGCGCATGCTCGTGATATATGACTGCCACATCCGCCGGCGGTGGTTATGTTGGTTCTATCCAGCAAGAAAGATGGTGATTTTTGTGGATTTGAAAGCATTTTTTGATCTACGAAAGAGATCAAATTGCAACTCAAGTTTTCTATTCTGAATCTTGATTCGAGGTTAAGAGGGAGGGTGGCTTATAAATGGTAGGGTTGGGGTGGGGATAGGGCCATTGGGGGGCTAATGGTTCATGTGAAAGAAGTAAAATATGGCTAGTTGGCTACTTGGTCCAACCCTAAAGGACCATAAATAATGGCATTTTGCATTTGAATTCTCTACTTTTATTTGGTTACAAATACATGAATAAACCCTAAAGATTATAGGATAGTTGCATTTGACCCTTGAAGTTTATATGTTCATATTTATGGCTCTACATTGTTTTTAAAGTCTCGTACAAAACCAGTCGATAAAGTTGTCAAACGGATATTATATTAACAATAGTGATTAATGATATATTTAGCATATAAGCTGGTAAACTAGTTGTTGGATGCTAAATTATGTAAATTGAAAAAACAGCTTATAAACAACTCATGTTTGGTTAAAGCTATCTAAAAGGTTAAATGTCGATGTAAATTTACCTAAATGGATATGTGTTTTTAACCATTTATCTAAAGTATAAGAAACATAAATTGGAAAAATAGAAGTAAAAAAAAAAGAACTTTTGAAGCTTGTTAATATGTTTTTTTTTCTTTTAGCAGAAAAACTCCAGGCAATAATATAAACAACGGAAAAAAAGGTCATACACAACAAAGTCCAACAACAAAACAGCAACCAGAAAAATAGAGACCCACAGAAATAAACCAGGAGCTAAAGAAGATGATCAAGGACCAGCTCCAAATGCAGCACCACTCAAACATGGCATGAACCAACCAATTAAGAATCACTATTGCACATCATAGATCTTTTGGCCCTATTCCTCCAAGACACCCTTTGATAGATAACATTCTGAATAATATTGGCAAGGTCCTGCACCGATCTCTTATTACTCCCAAAAAGTCTATTATGTGCTCTTGCCAAATAAAGTACACTGAAGCTGATAAAGACAGTTTGTGAGCCAAAGACTTTGATCCCCTAGCTAGAATAGCATTCCACGAGTCGGCGTAGCCATAAAGCCCAACCTCTGTCTTAACAAGTATCAAAGCTGCCAAAGAATAGTCACAATCAAAGAACAAGTGGTTGCGGGAGTCTTGATGGTCCAAGCAAAGAAAGCACTTCATATCTGGAGGATCATGTTTCCACATACCAATTCTGTCTTGCGTAGGAAATCTATTAAGAGACGCCAATCACATGCAAAAAGCATGTTTCGGAATGAAACCCTGAAACCAGACAGCTTTGCACCAAGAGACCTTATCATGGTGTGTGTCCATTGAGTCCCACGCCTCCTTAACAGAAAAAGCACAAAGAGAGTTGTTAGTACCAAGCCACCACGTTTTGTCCTGTGTCTGATCATGTAGACTCAGGACTGTATAGGAAAGCAAATCTGGATATCTTTGTGTCCAAATAGTCGACCAGACACCATCCATATTTTCAACAACCTCTCTTACCAAGGAAGAGACATCAAACCCGCTAGCATGAATATACCGGTAGGATATGTGAGATGATAATGGCCCACAGGACAACCATGTATCCTCCCAAGCATTAATATCCAAACCATTGCCAATTTTCACGAAAAAGAACCTTCTAACTTGAGGCCTTATATCTAAGAGCTTGGACAACACCCATGACCAAGATGAACGTTTTGGAATCATCCAAAAGGATCGTTGAGGAAGGTAATTAAGGTAGATCCACCGGATCCACAAAGAGTTCCTCTGTTGGACAATGTCACATATGTGCTTTGTTCTGTTCTTTTTATATTAAGTTTTGTATGGATAAAGTTGTATATATATTGATAAATCTATTTATATGATATTTGATGAGTTGTTGTTCGGTTGTTATGTTTAATAAGCTGTCTGAATGGTAAAATAACTATTTTACCCTTTGTTTTACATTGAACATTTGTAAACCAAATTTTACAAACAAAAAAAAAATTGAACCAAAATCTAGGTAAAAGATCTTTAACCAGAACCCAAATAGCAAAAGAACAATATCAAGATGGAGATCGAGATCTTTAACCAAACCAAGTGATTAAAGCAACATGTTAAGAAGTTTGTATCCTCCAAACCACCTAATGAATAAATCTTTATCCTCCAAACCAATTGATTAAAATCAATCGAGATCTGTAACCAAACCATCTAATCAAGAAGCTTGTATCATCCAAGTATTTAACTTTACGAACATTTGCATAAGGGGTAAACAAGAAATCGCCCATACCTAATTCGAATATCTCTCCTTTAGTCAAGTTGCAGACAATTTTTCTTCCTTTTATATACACAAGTTAGTTAACAAAGCAATGCAGATCGTTGCCTTAAAACACAAATCATAACGACAAGGTCTTCGATTGTCCATATATGGAAAAGTCCAGAGCCACTAAGGGCTCGGGGTGCCTAGGCACACCCTCAATTTCCAAAAAGGTAATCGAAAATACATGACTTTTGATGTTTAATTCTTTTTATTAATCCATTCACACTTATAAACACATGTTCTACATGTTTTGATAAATATATGCATAACTATGCATACTGTTTAGTCCACTCCTCGTCTTTAACTCTTTCTTAGTATTTACCGCCTATTGTATACGGATAAGTATTTAACTGAAAAACATATCTTTTAAACAGACCTTCCAACCTCGGACTATAGATTTTCATACAGTCTTTCTATGATCTACCTAGATTAATGTCATGTCTCCACCTCTGTATACATATGGACGGTAGACTGGTAGTGAAGGAAAAGAAAGATCAAAATTGAAGGACTAAAGTGAAAGTATTTTGAAAGATGGGGGTGTTTTTGGAAAGATGGAAGAAAAAAAACGTAATCTCACCAACTTTGTATAAAATAAATCAAGTTGTGCAAGTTGCATGACATTTTATAATTTCGATGGGAAAGTGGGGCTCATAAAACGACCACTTCCATACGAGTCTTCTTTCTTCCCGAATTATCCCCCTACTTGCCTACGTTTTTATTTTTTATTTCTTATTTTTTCCTTTTTATTAATTAATTTAAATAAAAAATTAAACCAATAATTGATGACTTACTATCACAAATTGTAATAAAAAAAAAACAAGTGATGTTTGACGGTTGCTAAATGGTTCGATGCAGAATAATTAAGTGGTTAGAATGAAATATAATTGTTTGGTAATTGTTTAGAATGAAATTAGAATGTTGAATAGTTAAGGAAGACCTAAGATACAAAATTAGTCAAAGGGTTTAAACCATTAAGATGCACATTTTTTTGTCAGACAAGATTCATCTCTTAACGATACAGAGGTTGCCTCTTGGTGGAACCATTTAGAGGTAAACAAACAACCCCTTAGTGTTATAAAAGTCTCCTTGCAACAACCATCAAGTATATTGTGGTTCAACGTTTCTGTTTGACATTATGTTAAGTTTGTGACGTGCATGACTTAATGTGTGGTTTTTGTAATGTGATATATGAGGTTTTTTATCTTTTAGCTTCTTAGGAGCTGTTTACCAAGCACTTACCCGAGTAAGTGCTTACCGGCAAAAATTCAACATTATCACTTACTTACCGGGTTAGGTTTTAGTCTACTAAAACGATATCCTATGCAACAATTTACCCAGTAAGCGCTAATCATGGTAAGAGACGTCGTCCTCACTTACCGGGTAAGACTCTAGGTCCTTGCCTTCGCTCTTACCGGGTAAGATTCTTGGTTCTTGCCATATTCATTCTATAAAATAATTTGACTTAGTAAGCGCTTACTTGGGTAAGGGTTTCGTAAACAGCCCCTTACCTGTTAGTTTTTAATATTTAACTTAATTTAGATTGTTTAATATTGTTGTCTTATTGAGCAATGGTAGAAAACATATGTGTTATATATGATATAGAGATTTGCTGCTATAAGTCATGCATTGAAAAATGTTACGATATCGCTGTAACTTATAAAGCCTAAAGTTTGGTCTTATCGCCATGTCACGATTTACGTCATTTACAACCTTGGACAAAGTAGAATTAATTTTTACCTTTGTTTTCGTTTTACATAACCAACTTTTGATATCTTAATTATTGGAAACCGTATTTTGAAGCTTCTCATTTTAAAGAATCAAAATGAAATTCGTATTTTAAGAAAAATAAATCTGGTTATCGAGTTACTTAAATATGAAGTTTCGGAACAAGGTAATTTATTTTCTGCTAACCATCAGATGTAATAAATGATGACGTGATATTGTTTCTAATTAACCGGATAACTGCAATATAATTTACTTTTAATATTTCTTTGAATAAATTGAACCTTATCTTATAATATTGTTATGGTCAAAACAGAACGGTAGTTTCCGAATTTTGTTAAATATACACTGGAAAGTAGATCATATTGAAAAAAATTATTCTACATATATGGTATTAACGTAATTTTAATTTTTTTTATGTAATAATTTTTCAATGATACTTTACACATATCTGCGGTATCAATCACTAAAATAGGCATGTCTTTTTCAACAACATTTCTATCGGACGAGTATAGGTCATAATAATACTTTTTTGAGAAGGCTTTCCGCTTACCCGTTGTCATTTGTTCGACAAAGACGGTTTCTGTTATTATTCGGCATGTAGCTAGAGACAACTTATTCGCTTTTATAGCAACGGTGCACTATCACCATGCATTTCAACCAAAAAACGCTACAAGAAAATAGATATCTTGGGACGACTGGTTGTCTTTGAATGATCTAATAGAGTACTCAATAAGACTTAACTTTATAAGATCAACTAATCTGCATTATGTATGATGACGATACAAAAATTTGTTCAAGTGAAACTATGAGACGTACCATTTTCTATCAACGAAGTTGGGAAACATAAGAGGACGCAAGAAATAATTAAAAATCGTCTTGTAAACTTTTAAATATGACACTTTTAATAAGCGTTCCATTAGTTTTCCATGGTGTATTTTACACGCAGGACCAAGAACGGATTGTCATTCCATGTTTGACGTGTTATTAGACT